ACCCGGATCGATCCTGTTCGCGACAGGACCGTGCCTCGATACCATCGCCATCATGACAGATCTTCTCTCTCGCTCTCTCTACCTCTCTATCTCTATCTCTGCGATAGATGGTTGGAAATTAATAGGAGGTCGGATGGGGGGCTTGGCTTGACTTACGAGTGGACGAGATAGATATCGAAATAGATCGATGGATTTTTCGAGGAAGATGCAAGGTTTAGTGCGAGCAAGGGTGAAGAACGGTATCATCAAGGTGGAAATTTTTAACAAGAGGGGAATCGAATAGAATGGACGTGGATGGATCTTTTGAGAGTATTAATGATAAATTTTTATATTTATTTCTTTTAACGAAGGAGAGGAAGGAGAGGAGAAATTGGAAGAAATGGAGATTAGGGGGAAATGAAGGAATTGGAGAGAACTTACTTTAGAAGGGTGCTTAGAGTTGTTTGCCTGATCATGCAACACTGTAAGATGGGGGCCAGGATGGAGATCTCGTCGTGGAAGGGTCTGCCAAATCCTCTTCCGTGATCCAAGTGCAGGGGAAACGTGTTGTTGCCGAAAATCTTGAACGTCTCGTAATGGTGTCTATCCATGTTCCCCATGAGGAAGTCTAAGACAGCCATGTCCATTAGATCCAGCAATCTTCTACCCTCGTGATAGGGCGGGATCTCTTTCACGAGGGAACAGTAATCCGAATCTGAAAAAATATATATTCCCGGATGGGAGATTGAGAAACATTTCATTACCGTCATTTTAATCAAAGATATCACGTACGAGCCGAGTTTAAAATAGATTTCTACTTATTTTTTTTCTACGTGAAATTTTAATTCGACGGGGGAGATATACATTCGTATATTAACCAGTTTATGACGTGAATTATGAAAAGCTACGCAAGCTTCTAAAATTTTCAAAACGTCTGCCTATCAAACGTTCACCGAGCCGCTCGAAAATTTACTTTTATCGCCAACAATTTGTTCAAACTTCTACGCGTTTCGATTTTCAAATCTTTTTAAATCTTGCTTTAATATTTAAAACGAAAAAAAGATCTTTACCAATATTAATATTACCCAGAATATCCATATCCTGAACAGTACGCGTGAAAAATTAACTTTAAAACGTCTCATTAAAAATCAAGAAAACTTCGAATTATCGTAGCCTCCGAACCACGAGCAATTAATTCGGCAGAATCGGGAGCGGAGAAACCGGTTTTCGTTTCGATACGTCGTTTGCTTTCCTGAAATATCTTTCGTGAAACGAAATCGACTGTAATCTTTAATAATTCGATATCCCTGTCTCTCTCGCTCCCGCTCAACTGACCTACCCCAAATCGTCTACCTGCGCAACGGTCACTGGCTGATTTAATGCTTTTTGCCACTACTACCACCAGACGTGCGTAAACAATTTCTAGAGTGAGAGAGGGAGGGAGGGAGGGAGGGAGGGAAAGTAGGTCACGGCGTTTCCCTAGAACTTGAATCCACCATTCATCTTACACGCTATCGGCTCTTATATCTCGGCAACCATTCAACGTATCGACATCAAACAAAGTGCATTATGGAGAGTACGTTCCCGGCTACGTATCGAGCTATACCCAATGGAAAATTGGATGGATGTATTTTGCAGTAGTGGTTAAGAAGAACGGATCGGTCTACTAGAACGGTCACGTTTTCGAACGATTAATAGAGAAATCGTTTAGAGATTTTCTTTTTTTTTAATAAAAGTTTAATGAATCAAGCTTTCTTATTTAAAAAAAAAAACGCTCTATTTTGAAAATATCAGAGTCCTCTCGTCATATTATGTTCATCGACATTTCTTCACCCTTTTTTCTTTTTTTTGGTTTCATTTAACACGAAATTTCACGAAACGAATTAACGAATATAGAAAGAATTCCTATTTTCAAAGAGAGAGAATTGGCCGCGCGATAAATAATAATCGAAGGAAAAATGTAACGATAAATGGCGGAGGAAAAATCTCACCATGCTCCCACTGGGCCTTCTTCCTCTTGTGATAACTCCTCCGCCAGGGGTGTCTCCATGCCTTCCTCGCGACGAAAGATTTATCCGGCAAGAAAGCGGCGAAACTGCCTTCAAGGGTGTCCGGATTTCCGCAAATCGCGTGCGCCGTATCGCAGTAATAACTGCACTTGCCGTGGAAGCAGATATTACCGGCGGGGCTGACGAAGAACGTCTTCAGCAGTTCGCCGTCGGCGATCTGATAAATCTCTGTCGTTAGGTTCAACGTTCTCCCTGTAACCGGCATCGCCCTCCTGAATCCAAGCAGCCTGTAACGGGGCAAACTTTTATCATTTTCCATTTTCAAGAGGCAGGAGAAGAAACTCGTCGTCTCTCCTTTCGCGTCTCGATTTGTTTTCTTTCCCATTTTTTTTATCGATATAATATAAAAATGATATAATGTAATATCGACAGATATTAAAAATCGATATAATATAAAAATAATATCGATAGATCGAATTACCTGTCCAGATGAAAAGCGGCGATCTCGGCCGTGTGCCTCTCGAAATCGGTGAAGTAGAAGTGATTGGGCAGAGTTTGTTGTTCCCTTGGAAACCTAGACAGCATAAACAGACGTAATAATGAGTCGTGGAACGTTTCTAGAACCAGGGTAAACAAAGGGGAATCTGCATTTTCGTTATACATGAATAATACACTCGTGTTTTTCCACGGGATGTTGGATCCCGTGGAAAATTTCTTGCTTTTCCCGGGGAAATATTTTTGCCCCCCTTTTCAAGGGCGAGAAGATCCGCGAACGAGAATAAACGAGTATATTCCAAAACGCGAAAACACGGGAGAGAAAATAATTTCCATTTTCGCGACAATGTTGAATCGTTCGAGAAGAAATCTTCGCCCCCTCCCCCCTGTAATTGCGCCACGACATCTTAATTTATCACGTTCGTTCGTTGCGCCACTTTCTCGAAGGAATAACTTCCTACTTGTAGCAGCAATCAACGATGGAATTAAATTGAAAGAAAGAAAGAAAGAAAGAGAGAGGAATTTTTCTATTCTCAATTTCGTGTTTGTTATTTCGAGAGAAAAATATTTGTCTCGTTTCAAGGCCGTGACACGTGCAACTCCACGACAGTTTCGAATTCAGTCGGAATTCAGGAGGAGACGATTTCTTCGAGAAAGCATAACCCCCATACCGAGAGAATAGGCAAGGAAGGGGGGAGGGGGAGAGGGAGGAGAGAAGAGAAACGGTTCCTCTTCTTTTTCCACGTCTTCCATCGCGAGAGTCGACGGCGATAAATAAAAAAAACCATCCCCGGGGAATCCTTCTCCGCTACGTGTGCACCTTTCCTCGCGAAAATATGGCGAAGGAACGAGAACAGAGGAGGCAGAATTCCGTCGATGTACTGTGACGTTGAACGAGTGGATACCGAGTGCTACCGAGCCTCGAATATGTAAATAATCGAGAGAGTTTGTATATAAATATGGCGGGTCTCTGTTGTTTGTTGATCTGTAGACGGATCGAAATAAGCCGAATTTTTGTATAAAAGTCAATCTTCGATCTCGACGCCCGGTCGTAGTCAATTCGAACTTTTTACTTCGAACTTAGAATTAAAATCCGTTGGGAATCACCGAAATATCCTTCCATTAACCCAGTCTGCGAACTCGGTATTACGTTTTATCAATGTCCAGGCGAAAATAATTCTCACTAATCACTCTTAATCGAAAAAATGATCTTGCACTTTGTAATTATGAACTGAAGCGAACATTATCGACTTATATTTAATATAATTGGGAGGGCAGGTCACTGAAATCTCGTTGTCAAAGATTAACGACAACGATATTTCACAGAATGAAATTTCTCTCAGTTAGATTTCGAGACGAAATAATAGAAAGGGAAAATTCTAAAGTATTTATCAACGATGATCTTTGCCGATGCACGAGATTTCTTCTAAATCTTCTCTCCAAGCGAAATTCAATCGAAGGGTGGAAAAATTCGTCAAACTTCGGTCTTGAAATTGGGGAAATCTATATTGCAGAGCAAACAGAAATGTCTTGATCCTTCATCACGGAACATGGTGAATTGTTGATACTCTCTTTATCATTTTCCACGAAATATGAGGAGTGCTTTTGCTACGCCTCGTTCCAAAAGATAGAAACGATGACGAATTTAATTCATCATCGTACCACTTGGATTTTCTTCCAAAGTCTCGAACGCTTTGAGAAAAAAGAATGCTCAATTTTCTACTTAAGAAGTTATCAACCGCAGAGAGAATTTTCCAAAGTATCGATTTTTCGATTCTCCTTTCTTGCAATACAATTTCCATCTCCAAAACTTCCTCCGTCGATTAATTAAAAAACAAATAAAAAAAAAAGAACGTTCAATTTCACGAAACATCACAGAGAGATCGGAGACGTTGGTTAAAAATTGAAGACGTCCAAGGTGGAAAGGGATCGTCTCTTCTTATCTCGAAGAAAAACGATTTTGAGAAAGGAGGGACCGTGAAAAAAACGCGGCGCTTCGAGGAACTTTTCCAAGCAGTCTTGGCTAATTAATACGACGGTCGCGCGGTAATTAGCGCGTAATTTGCATCCGATTAAAAGTTAACTGGCCGTCGCGGGGACCTCTGCCAAGCCAACCCTTCCCGCCTGACCTTCCGACACCGCGCCATAATTCTGTTTACCCAAACAGAAGCAGCCCCTTCTCCTCCTCAGCTCGAGAATTTTTTCCACATTGTCTGGCTCCGCGACGGAGGAAAGATAACCGGATATTTGGTGGAAATAATTGCCTGGAATAAGACCCCCGTCTCGCTGCTATTTTATATTCAAATGAACCGCTTTGGACGCGATTTATTTCCGCGCGCAAATATTAATTGCATCGGCGAGGATCTCGAGAGAGAGAGAGAGAGAGAAAGAGAGGGGGGGAGGGAGAGATTTATAGGTCAGATTAGAAGAATTGCTTTACTTTCCGCCCGTCTCGAGAAAATCTGGGACATACTCGTTTTTTTTTTCTTTCTTTTTTTTTTGTCAAGATAAATTGAATCGAATTAATAGATTTCGAGGAGTGATAAACGGTGAAATAATCGAGGGACACGCGAGAAATGGGGTTCGGATCCATATTTTTCTACTTTTAAGATAATTTATTGGCGGTAATTTTCTGGTTTCGCTTATTTTTTTTTTTTTTTTTTTTTT